TTTTTATTATTATTATCAAGATGTTTATATAATTATATATTAGTCTTTTATGGACAATTCTAAATTAGAAAATTATTTAGAAGAGCCAATACTCAAGCAAGATAATTAAAAAGAATTAAATATCTTGAACTGATGGAAAAACAATTAAAATCAATTTCCAATTAGCTGATATATATTCTAACAAAATATAAAAAAAATTTTATTCTGACAAATGTTGAGGCTCTTATTTGTATTCGTAACTACTATATAGTTTTATTTTAGATAAAGGTTATGAAAACAAAAACTTTGACATTTTTATTACTAAAGAAAAACCTACTTATAGTGAAAAACAATCAAATAAGGTTGATCTTGATGATGATGATAGAGATGAAGATAATAATCATGCTAATGTTGTTACTATTTAGCTTCTTGTTTTTTTATCTTTCTATTTTTCCTGTTTTATTTGGTTTTTTTTTTTAGTTTGGATAATAGTTTATTAGTGTTTGATTTTTTTTTTCTATGCATCATTAGTTTATTTTACTAATAGTATGAGTTGAATAAAATTTTTTTAAAAGTTTTATTGTTTTTTATTTCAAAATATTGAAAAGAATTTAAATTTAAGAAAAATAAAAAGGTCGGCTTTTTTAGGTCCTGAGCTCATATATCTGAGAGTCGAGCTTTAATAATACTACATCCGGTCCTAATTATAAGAGCCAATTGATTAATTTAAAGAGATTAAGGAAGTAAGTTGAGTTAGTTATTTGTCCTAAATAAGTGTTGTCTTTCCTAAAATATCCTTACTAATCAAATATATTAACTAGAACTATCATTATTAGAAGGGTTACTTTGAAAAAAATGTATAAATATGAGAGACAAAATAGATTGGGGTCTTATATTTAAGACCAAAATAAAAGTCAAACAGGATCTTATATTAAGAACCGAAAGTAGTATGATAATTTTAAGATATGTGAATGGTAGGTTTTTTTAGACCCTAACTCTTCAAGAGTTAGCCTTTTAGAATCAGGTTGACCCTTATTGACCACTCTAGGGGTGTGGGGTTTTTGAGACACCCTAAAATTTTTGAAGTGCGTATTTGGAATCCAGCTAGCAATTGGCAAAGGATCAAACGTGATTTTGAGTTTTTGACATCATTCGACCATGATTCCAAACATGAGTGTGGGGTCATAACTTCCTCATGCATGCTACATGAGAATAAGAAGCCTCAAAATGTGACGTACAATGCCATTGAAGTGAAGACTCATGAGAAAAGTCCGAGATCTGATTTGCTTTTTTTAAAAAAAAAAATCTAGGCAGGAAATGTCACGACTAAAAAAGTACTTATAGAAATATTACAAGTCATTTACTAACAAGGTTGTCATATCGGTAGCAAAATTTGAACTTACAATTTTGTGAGTTAACTCCTTACCACCTATATCAATATTTGTTTGTTCCATGATCTGATTTTTTTTTTTTAACTAAAGCATAAGTATTCTCTTATTGGAGGCAATCATGATCTGATTTGCTTATAAAGCAGCTTTCATTTTCGTTATTGGGCTCAAGACTTCAACCGTTTGGGCCTAAACTAATATTGGGCCTTCTGACACCCATGGTTTCTCACTCAGGTTACCTCCTTTTTCTTTTTCCCTCCGGAAATTATTATGAGGATAATTAACATATTACTTTCAAATAATTAAACTGAGGTGCAGAATAAAGGATTCCAGGATTGAATGATTAATTTGTCCAAACTTTAAGCGTAAATTACATTTTTTTTTAGTTTGAAAAAATTAAAGAGGATCCTTTTTCTTGATAATATTATTAAAATTTCACCTCATTAAATTACTTCCAAACAATTAAATTAACTCTTTTTACAATGCGTGTTCCTCCAGACGATAAAATTAATTTTTATTTGCGTGATCGTATCTTAAATAACTAATAATTTCAATGCATTTAATACCCGCTTTGTTTAAACTTGATTTAGTCTAGGTTTTAAGCATTGATTGAGAAATTACTACCTCCGGTCCTTAACATAAGACATTGTTTGACTTTTATTTTGGTTCTAAATATAAGACCCTAATCCACTTTATCTCTCATATTTATGCATTTTTTCCCTAAAGTAATCCTTCTAATAATAGTAGTTCTAGCCAATATATTTGATTAGTAAGGATATTTTAGAAAAGACAACATCTATTTGTTACAAATAACTAACTTAACTTCTTTCCTTAATCTTCTCAAATTAATCAACTAACTCTTATAATTAGTACAGGGGGTAAAATTAATTAATGTAAAATATAACTCCACATGGATTAAAATATTCTCACGCAACGAATAGTTTAGAGAAAGAATGTGAGATAATTGTAGGAGGATGAATAAGAGCATAATTGGAAAAAAAATATTAAATGGAGCGTTACAATTCCAAATGATTACACGAACATACCAAAATCCAATTTTTAACAACGGTGTCTAAGTAAATAACAAGAACAAGAAGAAAACGATCGATTAATTACCAAAAGTAAGGAATTATGAATCACAAATTAATCTCCTAATAATCGTTCTACCAACGCGGAATTAATCTCGTAATTAGTAGTATAATTCAACATCTAACAACTCGAACTTATCACATGGGAATCATATGATTCCTCCGATTAGTGGTTCCTTGAAGTTTGAAGTCAAAACCTTGAAAACTCCTTCTTTGAAAGTGCGTATGAAGTCTAAACTATAAGACTTCGTTTTAATTAAAAAGCCATTCAATTAGCATAAAGATGAAAGAGCTTGCCTTAATTGACCCTAGCTAATTGATCATTCCTGCTTTGTCCCAAGTATAAAAATAATCTACAAGAAACACATCTCATCAATCTACTAGATCATTAGTCTTTCCCATTATATAGTTGTTGTTCTTGTTTTTTTTTTAATATAAAGAAACAATTAGCAAGTCAAAAAAAGAATGTGTGAAATCAACAAGTAGGGTATTGTTTTAATTTATTATTCCTCAGTATTAATTTAAAACTGAAACGTGCAATTAAAGAATATAACCTCTCTTTGTCGTTCTTCTTCTGTTGGCTGACAAAGAAGTAGTAACTATTTTTAAAACCTAAGTTTTTCACGTGGATCTTCAAAAACAAAATATTCTTCCCGTTCTTAATATAAGACCCATTTAACTAATTTGATTAGATTAAGAAAGTTAGGTAAGTTAGTTAATTATAAGAAATGTGACACGTTTTTCCTAAAATATCATAATCATCTTTCTTAATACCCCCTCTTTCTCTTCTAAAATATCATAACAAGTAGGATTTTCCCCCTAATAAAACCATTAATTATGGATAAATTAAATCAAGTAGACTATCAAATACTATAATTACTAGTATGTACAATTTTTAGTTCTTAATATAAGAGTTAGTTGGGAGATTAAATTTTGTTCTCAATATAACATATCAATCTACTTTATCTCCCATTCTCCCCAGGATGTCACTATTAATAATGCAAATGATTAAAAATGATAGTTTAAGAAAGCCAAGGCTCATTTGTGACAAATAACTAATTTAACTAATTTTCTTAATATGTTCAAATTAGTTACTCATCTGGTCCTATTTACAAGACAGAGGGTGAAAGTTTTTTTAAGTCCTATTTATAAATCACTTCATCAAATTTTTAGTGTGAATATACTATTTGGTTCTTCATTTATTATAGTGTAGATAGTTATTGTTTTAAAAATGTGTATATATTAAATGGGAAAAAAGTTAAAAAGTTGTTATATTTTAATAGAGAGTTAATCCAGTTTAAGACTTTTAATAATATGTATGAAACATGTTGAAAGTGTCTTATAAATAAAATCAGACGAGTATTTAGCTCTTATATTAATCAATTGATAACACTAATAAAACAATCAGTAATCTCAATAACTAATTACTCTGCAATTAACTGTAATATACTTAGACTAACTACGCGGATACCGGTAATACAGGGGAGAAAACAAAAATGAAAAAAAGAGAAACCAATGCCATATTAAAGTTTTAAAGTGATAATTGTTTTAGGAAATCCTACAACTCTAAAGCACATATATTTTTTTTTCGGTAGAATAAAGCACACTTTTTTTTTTTACCTTAGCACACATATTTTTGGAACATAAACAATTTTACAAACTTAAATCGTATTGGATATTATAATAGAAATAAATGCGGAACTCGCAGAAGTCGAGAAAATTTGTATGGTGGTTATACTACTATTCTTGTTTTCTTTGTACATAACTACATATCCATATGAAACCTCTTTTAATGTAATTTTTTTATTTTTAATTATTTCAATAAAAAATCAAATGCAGCGTGAGAATATTATTCTAATTTAAATTTTAAAAAAAATTAAAAATTCACTTAAAAGCATGTTATAAACCAGCTGTAACTTTGCTGGTAAAAAAAAAAAACCGGCTGTAACTTTTCTAAAAAAATAAGCAAATGATTTTCAGCCGATTGCATTGTAAACTTCACTCCAAAAAGTTTTGGGAAAAAACAAAAAGTGTTTTTAAAAAAAAGGAAAAAGGAAAAATTGGAGCTGGGTGGGAAGCAAGTCAGTTTGTGGAGTTGAGCTAAAAAGGCAGGAGGAGGGTGGCGAAGCTCTTAATTGTCGAGCAGAACGCGCCGCCACATCTGAAGCGAAAACCACGCGCCAAACTCCACGTGGGGTCCACCCCACTCAACAAACTCACCTCCCTTTCCCTTCTGCTTCTCCCGTACAGACACCTCTCTCAAGTCCCCAACCGTCTCCTCCGCTCCCAATTTACCAGAATACCCCTCCTCACTTCCACGTGTCCCTCCCTCACTCCCCACTACCTCCATTACGACGCACCGCATGAAATTTAGAAACCCTATATATACCTCACAATTCAACCTCCCCCTCACCCCTGCCAGCTTCACCAATTCTAACTTCCATTTCTCCTTCTTCTTCTCTCTCATTTCTCTTAGCATAATCCAGATCTTACTGTGTTGCTTGGAGATTTAATTTGTTATGTAATTCATTTCTTGCCCAAGGCCATGAGTCGTACGCCATTTCATCCCAAGAGAGACATCCTGAACCACCCTCACAATCATGCCGTGTGCCCTCCTCCCCTGAAGGTCCATAAGGATTCTCATGCCATCAAGAAGTCATCGCCGCCTCCGCCGTCATTGTTGTCGTCGTCCACGTCAACGTCCTCCTCCGCATCTTCTTCCATCGTCTCCGGTAGCAAGCCTCAGCAGCGGCACCCGGTCATCATCTACACGCACTCTCCCAGAGTTATCCACACTCATCCTAGGGATTTCATGGCATTGGTGCAAAAGCTCACCGGCCTTTCTCGATCTGACAACGACGTCCCCACTGCATTGGATCCGCTGCAGCCGAAACAAGAGCCTGGGATTCCTGCCGCGTCGACGTTAACGGTCGATAAGGACGGCGGGGATCTTAAGAAGGGTTCGGTGAACGAGGACAATGAGACGTCGTCGGTAATTACGGAAGAGAATAACTGCAGTAGCAGCATTGGGGACACGCAGGTGAATTCTTGTTTCATGCCAAATCCACCGATTCTGGATCCCTCGTTGAACCCTTACATGACGAGTCTGCCGGTGTTTACGTCGAATTCCACGGAATTTTTGTGCTCGAATCAGCCGTTTTTGAACTATGACCCATTGTTCTTCTCTCATAACATGAGGAGCTCGATGAATACATCCCCCGCCACTTTGGAGGGAATGAATGATTTTCGTGAGTATTAATTAATAATTAAGGTCCTCTTTTTCTTTATTTTCTCTTCTGCAAATAAAAGTTTTCATTTTCCTAATCATCAGCAGCAGAAAAAAGGTTATAAATTTCCGGGATAGAACTTATTTTGTCCTCCCTCTGGAAACAATCTGTTTTCGAATATTGAAACTTCATAGAAAAATTTATGTATTAGGAATAATAGGAATTCCTATTATATTATTCATAGATTGCATGCTTCCTCTATTGGTTCAGCTCAGAGCGCTTAATAAAGAAAGATATAGCTTCTTATGACTATAGGATATTATCCTCCTTTGTCAGCTTCTTGGTTTTTTCCCAGAACTTCATTTTTTTCCCATCCCGTGTTTTTCAAGGTCGCAATCCATGAACAGACCGCCGGGGACCCTCGCTTCAAGGTGGTCGGTGGACAAATAATATTATTTTGTTTTGCGCCCGTCAAGGGCAAGATTGTCCTAAATAATGCACTCGCAAAGTTTTTCCATTTTTGCATAAAATGTCAAGAGAGAGATGTCCTTCAGTAGATTACATTTCGATAGCTTCATTTCACTTTCATAATAAATTTTCCTTGGTTCTGTCCTTGCCCGATGCATTTTTTAAATACAAATTTCACGCTCTTAGCTTCTTTGCTTAGTTTTTTTTTTTTTTTTGGCCTGAGCTTCTTTGCTTAGTTTAATCCACAGCCTTTGTATTTTTTCTCCTTAAAAAAACACAATCAATCGGATCCTGTATGAGAAAAAAATATAAAATTTGTTCTAGCATAGACAATCAACCTCCATCGGCGTTTCAAAATGCCTCCCACAAGCACTCCGGGCATTTTTAAAAGAAATTTACTTGATTTATATAATGTACAAATCCTTTATAATGTTGGTGTTAAAAGAGTTCATTTTTCAACATATGAATGACAGAACACACTACACACTATTACCAAAAGAGAGAGAGAGAACACACTACACAGACATCGTACATAATTTCACAACAGATTACACCATCACTTTCTCTTCTTTTCCTCCTTATCTTTTTCAAGTACAACTGGAGCAGCAGGTATGCTAAACCACCATTCCCGAAGTCTCCTAGCGCATCTCTCCGTGTTGGCTTTTCTGGGTGGTGAGTTCCTCGTGAATATTTCCAAAAAGACTAGTAGGACTATGTACTTGCCAGGTAAGACAGCCAGAACCAAGGCTGCTGACACAAGAGCAAAGGCAAATTTCTCGGTGGCCTGATCACAAAAAGGAATCAAGTATTACTATCTGTGACGGAAGTTTACTACTAAAGTCGAAAACAGCTCTCAAAAATATAATCTGTCATCAAATGCATCTGGGCTTCTGCATGGACAGCCAGGTAATCACTAATCGGCAACAACTAGATATGAGAGAGAACCTGAGGGAAAATGGACAGTAACAAGCCGCGCAACTTGAGCAGAATGATGTTACCATCCTGTATGATCTGTTCAGCTTGAGTGATAGCATTCTGAACAGCCAGAAGCTGCTCCATTGTATTCATTGGTGGAGGCGCTATTACCTTAACTTCATCAACAGGTCTACCTTGGTTAAAAGATCGAGTAATTAACAGAAAAGCTGAAATGAATAGCAGCACCACCGCCACTGCGTAGCCAATCCATCCCCTGAAATACATATATGAGCTAAGATTACCAAAAGAAGGCAAATCTAGCATTAAGGTGAACCACTAGCCAAAATAATAATAATAATAATAAATTATTCAGCCACTCTCCCTTGTTAATCCTTCCCATGCCCTCTAACGCCCTTTAACTTTGTTTAGCGGCTGTGCTAAAAAAAATACTAGCGTCTATTGATACAGCAAAATTACACTAAAATCATGTTTACTGCATTCAAATATACACATGTACAACACTAGACTGATCACATGCAATCTAATTGTTTGCTGATTATACTTACTATCTAGTTGTCATATTAATAGAGCCAAACATGAATAACTAACTCAATCTTTGACTGGCAGAGTGACCCCTGGTTTTTTGGGGTGCAATCACATCTACAAATCTGTTGTGGCTAACACTGATAGAAAGCCTAGACACCCATCATTGATAACCCAGGGCCAGGTCAGTGCTGTCCGGCCATCAATTCAAGTATCCCAGCACAAGTATTTTTTAACATGTGAAATCTGGTCATAAATCAACATAATAAATGTTACGTGTTGAAAATAATAAGGACAGTATTTAGCTGTTTTTAGTCAGTTAATTGCACCATTGTTCAACGCTGAGTCTGTTGCGTAGCAATAGTCATTTGGTTAAACCAGTAAAAATATGGAACTGGTTTCTTGCTCACTCTCAGCTAGAATAAGGTAGCCAGTGAAATGAGTAAAAAGCATATTGAATCTCGTTTCACTTTATTAATTTGTTAAGATTTTATTTTTCATTAGGATTTTTCTATTATCTTGCATTTTAAATTTTCCTATTAGTTTGCATTTTATTTTTAAATGTGCCTATTGCGCTCCACATAAGGCTCATGTTAGTTAAGGGTAAGCATTTTTTTTAATCATCAAATCACTATTGGATCTCCCTCCTCTGCTACCCTTCCCTTTATTTCTTCTATATCTCGCCCCTTCATGCTGGCTGCTGGTCCTGCGACACTGGGATGATACAGGGGTTGCGTACTGAGACCAGGCAACCTTATGAGTTTCGAGATCTTATCACATTTAGAAAAGAAATTATTTTGTTTACCGAAAGATTATATTTTCTCATCCATAAATTTGGATTAAAAAAATGCTAGCTTGAGTATGACTCAACTAGTTAACTCACAAATCCTTTCGGCCATTTTTTGGGGGGGGGGGGGGGGGAAGCCACATACGGTTACATCTTCCACGCTTGTTCAATTATCATACTTTGTCTCCTTACATTAGTTCCCATTGGTTATATCATCCAGGGTATATTCATTTAACAAAATTTTCAAATTTTTGTAATTTATTCATATAATATAAGGTCATCAGAAGAGTAGTTATTCTAAGTACTACCTTTGGTCCTTAATATAAGATCTACTTAATTAATTTGGGTAGACTAACGAAATTAGTTGTCAACCCTAAAACATCATTCTAAATCATTTGGATTAAAACTACCTTTTGATGCAAAGTCCCTTGACATATACAATCAATAGGGTTAGTTTGGATAAATAAAGGGGACAAAAATGATTGAGGTCTCATATTTAGTACCAAATCCAAACCTCTTATTAGCTCTTATATTAGAGACCAAAGGTAGTATTTATTACCTGTAGATGATATAACTAAAGATCAAACAAAACCCCAGCGACTTCCATGGATCATTCCAACAAGCCAGAGAGTGAAGAGATTTCCAAAGGTCATTTATTGGAAAGAGTAACTCCTGCAAGTAAGGTGGTAAATGTAAGTTGTAGCAGCTGAATTCACTCTGGTAATAAGCAGGGGGAAAACCATATATACGAATTACTCGCTTCAGATTATCCTAAGATTTGGCTTCAGTCTACTTATATTGCTGTTCGAAAAAGGAGAGACCAGGGTTTTATCTTATAACCCGCACAAGCACATGGCCTGCAAAGTAAAAGGGTGTGACAGATGAGGTATGATGATATCCCAGTACCTTCATGACAGCCAAATTAGTGTCCACGCCCTCAACTTTAACTCCATCAACAGTTGCTCGTGCAGATACCACCTTTTTATAGTCGTCCTTAGACTCTTGAACTGCTCTTTCCAATGGAGTCATTTCTCCAACTGATATCTCCCCCACCGAAAGCCTGCTCTCATTAGAGCTGTTTGAACTTGATCCAAATACAAATCCCAAGTTAGAAACCATCTCCAAGGCTGAAACAGAATGCATTCCACTTTCAGCCTTAGAGTGATCGCTGTCACCTGACTCCCTTGAGTTTAACATGCTGGCAATGGTTTCTAATATCAAGTCCCCACCTGGAAGCTGGTCACACAGATTAAACATGAGAAGAGTCTCATGTTGTACAGAAGTTGGAGAACCGATATCTAGAATGGCTTGTAGACGCAAAATTCCTAAGACAGCCTTCCAAAGTGCTTCATCCCGTGAAATCCCTTTAATGTCATACTTTTTAATAAATTTATGGACACAGAGGATTTCCCGTATGATAGCAAGCCAATAATCACGACGAGCATGCCCTTTAAGCTCTGGAAATTCTATCACAACTGGCTCTGGTCTGCAGAAGAAGCATTTCGAAGTAAGTAGCTAGTAAATTTTTCAGCTAATATCCAAAGGACATGAGGCGCATATGTCCTAATACCAAGTAAACAAACAAAAAGGCCCTTCATCAGCTTAATCACTTACAAGGACTCTGAGTTATAGAAGACTGCCTTATCAAAAAGTCTAGTACCCCATGGTCCAGTCAACTCAGGTTTAACAACCTGTTTGAGATCATCAGATAAATCATATCTTTTTGGCTTGTCATATGATACAACACGGTGAGCTTCAAAGTAAAGGGCATGGTCTGTCAGGATCAAACGACCTGTATGCATGTCAGGAATAAGACTTCAAAACATCATGCGTATAAATGTGCATCTTTTAGTTCCATTTGCAACTATATTTATCACTATGTGATTGAATAAACACACATACTTAACAAAGCATTAAAAACATATTTATTAACAAACTTACCAGGCCATGTGGATATCCCAACATGTTCAAGGACTGGTTGTGTGGTGACTGTCCCATCAACCTCCAGAATTTTCTCATCTCTAGATGACCGTATAGCAGAAAGGAGAGATGACTCAGAATTGTTCTTCATTTTTCTGATTGCCCTTCATTAATTCAAAAGAAAACCATAAGAATAGATTTTGTGAACATCATATTGACACATTAAAATGATTAATAAGTAATTAGTTATTACAAACAAAAGCTGGATATCTGATATCATCAGCTAAGAAGCACGAAGCTATACTGAAACAGTAGTATTAAATACCAATCTAATTTAACACAAATTTAAAATTAGAGGCTATTTTGAATAATTGATTAGAAGTAATAAATCTAGATTTTGACCAACAAGCTAAAGCACCAATTGAGAAGCAAACAATAAACCTAAAGTTGACCAAAACAAAAAAATCAATTTACTTTCCCATTTTTCCTGGCAATTAAAATTGCACATAAGTTTAGGTCTACTATGAAATTCTACCTTCATATCCTTGATTTTTTTTAGAAGGTAATTATGTCAATCTCAGACATTTTAAAATCAGAAAACATGATAATACTGCAATTGTTGCAGCAAACAGTTTTTAGATGATTTATCGCAGTTACCTACAAAATATAAAACCAAGCTAAGTGACAAAATCCCTGGAATCCTCCCTCGTACCAAATGAGGCAAAGTAAATTGATATTTGTATACAAGGAAGGCTAGTCTGCAATAAGGGGCAGTGGAGACTAATAAAATAACAAATATAAACATCGGTCAAAATTCTAAAAACAGTTTCATTAGTTACAATGGTTTCTAACATTTCTTACTATTATGTGGCAATAGTAGGAAGAGTCACTAGTCTATTAAGTAGCCGATTAGTTAATAATACAAGGGGGAATGACCACTTCTGTCACATAGCAATCAAGTGGTTAGGTGAGGGATCAATTATAAATACCCCCGATTGTAGTAGCATGAGATGGATTAGTGATTTGAATACAAAGTGTTACTCATTTCTTCCTATCAGAATGCCATTGGTTCCGTCCAGTAGTCATAGAAAGATGGATATAGCATTCACGCATAGAAATAAGTCTACTGTTTTTTTTTTTTTTTGGGGGGGGGGGGGGAATGAATGACAAAAAGGAGATATCATCAAACATAAAGTAAACGCAGGGCACGTAGTTTGCATAAGAAACCTCAAAGTCAAATAAAGGAGGAAGCAACAGTATGCATGAAACTTGAGGTAAAGGCTGTTACCTTTCTAGACCATTTAGGTACTTGTCATAGGTGGAGAATTGAAGACGGCCACCAGTTGCTGAACTCAACACTGCAAAAAGATTTTCCCTTGTGATGATATTGGCTATGATGGGAACTGCAGGAGCTATACGACAGAAAGCTTCCGAACCAACAGATACATTCTCATCAACCTTCTAGAAAATAAGAGGCCCATTATTATTAATAATAACTGGGGTACTAAAGATGATAGGAATACTTATGCCCATCATTTAAAGACATCACAAAGTTACACAAGGTAGCAGAACACGAGGAAGACATATGGCTAAAAAGCATTGCATATGAATTTGATTTTGGTCAAAAGAAATAAACTAGCAAAATATCATGTTCATAAACTGGAAAATAAGGCATTTTAAGTACAATTGACATTCATCATTAGATTGAAATGGAAACATAATTTAAATGTATTCCATTCACTTATCAAGAATGCCTACGCCATGCATTGTAGATTGTTCACAGCAACCTGCAGCATTGGACATAAATATCAAATACCACAAGATTCCGAATTCCTAGGTTTTTTGTGACAATATTTACAAATAATTCTCAATACAGGATTCCAAGAAAAATACCACTTGTATTTAAAATACATACATTAAGCAATGGTTGGCTGGCAGCAGCCGGGGTCTCCCAACCTAGCATCATGTCATATGTCAAGCGTCGAAATTTTTTATCAGAAAGATAATTAGTCACTTGTGTTGATACAGCAAGCGCCCGAAAACAGCAATACTCAAGAAAGTTCCGCGCATATTGTGATGGATGCTTTATAGCATCAGAAGCCTCTTGATTGAAGCACTCCTGAAGCTCACTTGAAGATTTTCCAAGAATTCTGCATTATTAGATTCTCTTTAAGTCAAATTTCCAATTAAAGTTATTGGTCGTTGAGTCACACAGGCAAATGCAAGGGATATAAAAAGGCTATTCACCATTGAAAATAAAGTCATAAAAGCACGAAAGTTCCATTGCTGATACTGTTAGTGAAATTAGAATTAATATGTATATATAAGATCCAAAGAAGCGAAATTACTTTGAACATCTACGAACAACCATGTTGGCAACAGAAGAGAGCTCTGGTATCCAATCCCCCCCGGCAGAAGGTGACGTTTCAATCTCCTCAAAATCTAGATCAAAAGAACTTCGCTTACCAAGCAACCATTTAAATGATCCATCTCTTATCAGGCCTTCTAGCATATTTCTGGCTTTACTTGCTGCAGCCATCTCTTTTGCCTCCCAGATTTTACAGAGTCTTTATTGAGTCGACGAAGAAATATAGTATCCGATTGTTATTACAGTTCTTGCATTTACTGAAATGCAAATATTGCCAAAACAGTCAAGATGAAATCTCAAAACTGACACATCAAGTAGTAAACTACTAATCATAATAGACTCAAACACGCTAAATCCAGCTTTTAATTTCAGAAAAAAGCTACAATTTCGGGAACTTTTGCTTTTAAAAAAAATCGGGAACTTTTACAAGAGCCGTAAAGTATTGCTCGCAAGATAAGATTTAGTTCACCGTTGAGTTGACAAACACTTAAACGTACGAGGAACACATGCAGAGTATAACCACCGGCATTGCTCAGCGTTAAGAATCTTTGCATATTCAAACTCAAGTATGAACTTGCATAAACGCGTTAGATACTCATCGAAATCTCAAAGCAATCAAAATAAAATTTTGAAACAAAGAACCATTACCAGTAAAAGCCTGGCCCCAAAAAGCTGTACCAAGGACAACCAAAACGACTCACCTCAAAACGCAATGTGATGCAGCAACATAAAGAACCTCAGCTTAAGCAAAGAAAACAACTGGCACTCCAGTAAATTTACAAGAAATCGACCATCGATCTTAGAGACGACAAGTAATGCGAACAAATCACCCATTTTGACAAGTTGCGGTATTGTTCATAGGATCACATTCATGAACAAACTTGGGGCAGAAGGAAGCAGAACCTTGGGGGAACTCGGTGCGAGACATGTAAGATTCTATCTTGAATGGGGGTTTGTGGAAACCACAGGGATAAGAATAAAAGGCAAGAAAAATGAGACAAACAGTGATCAACTTCTTTCTCAAGGCTGATGCATTGGCTGGCGCACCAGAACTCCTGAAGGGAGGCAAGCAGGACTCAGGAGCCACCAACGGATTTGTTTATTGGCCGAAACCCCCACCGATTCGATGAAAGGCATCTCAGTGGTTCACGCGTGTAAATGATCCTTTTCTTTTTCTTCTGGTGAAAAAAATGATCCCTTTCTTCACAAATGAGTTACGTTCCCGTCAAATGACTGTGCAAATGTCATCTACTGTGAGGGAAAATGTTGATGCTTCTGTTTATTTTGAAGGAAGTTTTCCGTTGTTATTAAAAGGATAAAAAAAGATTATCCCTCACATGGGCCCTTTGCCCTCAGTGGCCCAAGAATTTGGGCTGACACTGTTGGACCTGCCAAAGCCACCGTTGGGCTCCATAAAATGGCCCAAGTTTTCCTAAGCATTTTCACTTCTATTTCATTTTGTTATTTTTCGTGATTGTATATTTTTCTTCAAATAGAGTTGCCTCCCATTGGAGGCCTAACAAAAAGAAAAGGTCAGAGACGAAAGCAAGAGGGGTAAAACAACCAAACCTACAAAAATCACTTATCATTACTAAAGTTGTTTATTAGGGTTTATAAAATGAAATAGCGGATGAAAGTATGATACGGTGGGAACATGCTCCATAAATAAATACTAATGGTCCATTGAAAAACTAAATATATTCATTCATCATAACATATTGATCGCCAAATTGTCCATTCATCATAACATATTCATTAAGTAAATCCTATAATTTATTAATGATTATACATAAGAATAATGCGTATATTATACCAAAATATAGAAATAATAAATATTTTAAAGATTATTTTTTAACGGAAAATAATTTTCTACTTGTTTTCTTTTTGGCTAGTTCTGTAAAATTCTCAACTGTTTATAACACCAATTCACCTGTTTTGACCGGTTTGGTTGAATTCTCATGTCATCAATATCAGGTCAATTTTATAGAGTCTTTTTTTTTTTGTACTTCTATTGAAGTCTGAGATTCTTTCATGAAAACTTTGTTCGTATATATTTCAAAATTATATGAGAAGTATGTATGTATGTAATGTATAATTTATAGACAATTGCTGTATTTATAAGTTATGAAAAGTATGATTCTTTTTCAAAAACTTTATTTAACAAAGAAGCATGCACTTAGTTTTATCTAAAGTCAAAATTTGCATAATAACCGATGATTATTTAACATGATTTTCAATTCATATCTACCCCAATTTCACTTTCAGATTAAAATTGTTAACTTGGAAGCAATATAATGAGAATTACCATGACTATACAAACCAAATTAAATGGACTAGAGGCAGAAATTACTGTTGTATGAGTTAATTATTAGCCTATATAAATCCAACAAGCAATGGCCAACTCAGAGTCACTCAACTCCAATGTGGACTGCCATCTTTGGTGCAAGAGCTGTTCTGTTAAGTAAACATCAATTGACCACAATAGTGGAAAGTGATCATGCTCCCTTTAAAGAGATAACAACAAAATAAAGCTAGTCTATTAGCCGGCTTTGTTTTGATTTGAATCTCCAAGTCTGAGACCAAACAAGCACATACACATAATTTTGCTCCCGTTTTGGCTGTTTTAGTGGGCATATGATATCAGCTAGCTACCTGAACAGCTAACAACTTCCACTTTCACTTCACAATCTTCATACATGGATATATATATAGTGACCCCTCCTAGGTCCATGAACTTGCCCATCTTTATTACTTCTCTCTCCAATTCCAACTACTTGCTTTTAACACTTGTCCCAACATTTAAATCCATATTCATCTACATACATAAAAGTGTATCTTGCCATATTTATATATCTATTCTTTAGATAATTAAAGGTATACCATCACCGTCTTAATTGGTTCAAGACCCCTTGAATCTGAACTGAATTTTCCATATTATATTGATGTATATGCCCCAATCCTAGTTTATAATGGTCCTCTTTCTTTTCTCTGTTTTTTCCCCCCAAATATGCTATATGTATTTGTTTTTGTAAATATAAAGGATGGATATTGCTTTGAATCGGCATTCTAAGTCACTCCCTCCAGTCCTTTTTGTAATGCCTTGTTAACTACTTTCATGAGTTTAGAAAGTTAGTTAAAATTAGTTAAATGCTAACATTTTAACAACCCAAGAAAATTACCTTTAATTGGTGGTATAGTTAATATAGAGAGAAAGAAGAGTTAAATGCTAACATCTTTACAGACCAAGAAAATTACCTTTAATTGGTGGTATAGTTAGTTGAGAGAGAAAGAAGAGGATGAAAAAACTGTTATTTAAGTCAAGAGTAAAAGAAACAAAGGCGTTTTTCTGAGTCAGTCACAATTCATTAGACTTTGTAAAAGGGTTTTATAAAAAGAACCAATAGGCAGGGTCTGATAAATAGGACTGGAGGGAGCATTGTTCATGCACTTAGGTGAGAGGGGAAGACAAGAGGATGGTCAAAAGTGGGGCAGACAAGAAAGATTGAGAAGGAGAGAGGGCAGCAAAAGTGGGGTAGAAAAGGTTCACAAGAAGTGATCATATATATTTGAGAAGTTGGAGAAGCTACAATGCCCATCCTCTTTTGAGCATGCTGTGGCCCATTCGAGCTGTCCTCTTCTCGTCCCGGTTTCATGGATACAATGAATCTAATCCACCTTCCTTTGTCACTAAAGAAAGACAACATATATGTTATTATGGTATTCCTAATGTTCTCTCTCTCTCTCTCTTTTAATTCTCCTCTTCAATCATTCACTTAATGATGTGGCCACATCCATAAGATTTCATCAGTTCCTTTCTTCAAGTGGATGCCCTAGACTGTTCCTTCATTTGCATCTGCCCAGTTTTCTGATTTCCCTTTCTGCGCTAAAACCTTCTCTTTTAACTCTCAAAAGGGAATGGAATATCTTACCAAAAAAAGGGAATAGAATATATATGCACAGTATAATTATCTGATGTGAAAGTGCCATCAACTAATATAAGTTCAAATGTATAATGTCAGACTCAAATAGGGTAATTGATCCAGTGATTTTTTTTTTTTTTTCATTTTATAAAGTTCAGTCTTTTCACCTCTCTTGTTTGAGGAGTATTGGATCCCATTTACTTAATCCGACCACCGTTGATAGAATACGTGTGTGTGTGTGTGTTTTTTTTTTTTTTTACTGACAAGAGGGATCTTCATGCAACTTGTTGTCGCTTAGGTCCTACAATACATGGACCTCCTGGCTGGTCCATTGGTGGCAGCAGATTAGTGTGGTTACATGTGAAGAACTTGGGGGAACAAAGACAATTACTTTAGAAGGGTTTTCTAGGTAGTTTTCTTTACCAATACTTTTGCAGGCAAACGTTGCTTCAATTTTTATTATATTTAATGGCAAATGAAAATTAGGCATGAGGTAAAAATCGCTAATCTTGTTAAATCCAATCCTCGTTAAAGTGACGTCAAAAGTCAATAATACATGAAGTTCTTGTTGAATTATTTCTTTCAACTCAAATTATAGAATGCGTTCCTTCTTTTCCCATGAAGAATGACCGCATCACGATAGCAGCTGCACTCTCATTGCATAGTTAAACTTTACAACAAAGTGATGAGTTGAAGTCTCCCAAGTAAAATGTGTGATCTTTTAAAATATGAGTTATGTAATGTCCGATCACGGTAGGAATTATAGTCATGTTAGCTTTTTCTTTTTTTCTTTTTTTTAACCTTATTAACAAGAGAACTTGCATATTAATGATCCATATATTTATCCACTTATTTGAAGGATTGTACACAAATACATGAAAATCTAAGCTTTTATATAAGCTTGCGACATTTGAGAGGGACTTTACAAGCAAGAATGTCCACATTCAGCTACAGCATGGTGTGGAAACAAATGGATGCTTTCATTTGAAAAGAAAAGGACAAGTTATGGAGCGTCCTCTTAATCTATTAATAATTTTCCGTGGTTGATGAGACAGAATCATAGAACTCCCCAAAACTGAAACTAGAGAGGCCAAGTTGGATGAAAGCAAGAAACCCCTCCGCCATATCCTTCTTCACTATCATTTCTTGAGGATAATCCTTTTGCCTTGAATGCCCTTGCTCTCTGACCCAAATCAAATCAATAATTCAGTACATGATAATTCTGCTATTATCATCAAATAGTGATACAAGTCTAAAACAAACGTATATATAAATATATATATGTGTGTGTGTGTGTGTATTCCCTTCAGTGAAATTCAAACCTGCATTGCTTCTATAGCGTCTGTCTCTGAATTGAAATCGTAGAAGGTGCTTGCCGCAGTCAGCTTCATAGATAGAAACTGCAGATATAACCAAACTTCAATTTAATGTTCTTGATTTGAAAGATATACTTCTTTTCAACTTTTGATTGCTTACCTCCACCTGATGCTGCAAGGACTGGACATAGTTTATAATCTCGTCCAACATCACCGCCATACCCATGGTCTGAAAAATTTTTATTCATAAATTTTGTATCACGGACGCAAATAAATTGAGCTTACAGAATATGTGTTTGTGTGTGTGTGTGTGTGTTTTTTTCTTTTACCTTGTAGCATCCTGGGACAATGGTCTGCAAGCGTCTTATTTTTTCGTTGATTTTCCCCCTTCTGACCTGAACATATAAAGATTAATGATTACAATATATGAATCAAACTCGCATTCTTTTCAGACTAAGAGGCAAGAAACATATTTTTATAAGTTTAATATAGGAACTATACCCTTTCTGCTAAACTGTGACTGTCTGTAGCTTGACCTCTTCTGGCCCTGACATGAACCACTTCCTTTGGTTTACCTTCTTCTGCTACATTGCTCTTTGTTCTCTTACCTCTTCCAGAACTCTGAAAACATAACCAACAAAAAATCCGTCAGTTTCTGTCTAGCATATAAAGTTGAACAAGAAGATGAACATTAACATACACTAACGACCTTGCTTCCACTCTCAGAAACTGCAGGAGTTGGACTTACAGAACTGGTTTCCGTAACATCCATCGCTTTCCTCTTTTGACTATCCTGGATTTCATTTTCTGCCGGTAAAACGGGGAAATTTTCTGGAAAATCAGGTTCTTGAGAGAAGGGAATCAAGCTCTGGACATTGAGATTAGAGTTGTCCAGGACAAGGGGGCTCATCATGCCTGTGAACTGGTTTATAAGTTCCAAGTTTGGAT